CTAGTTAACTAGTTAGGAGTTTTGCCTTCACTAGTGAACATGTGGACACTTTGAACTGTCACTAGTTAACTAGTGAGACACAAAAACCATCAACTAGCTGACTGGTATGCATTTTAGCCCTTACTAGTTAACTAGTGGGCCATTTTTGTGTCACCTAGTTAACTAGGAAGCCAAAATGTGTTCACTTGTCAACTAGTGGGCATTTCTTCTGTCACTAGTTAACTGGTGTGCACATTTTGGCCATCACTAGTTAACTAGTGAGACACAAAAACCTTCAACTAGCTGACTGGTATGCATTTTGGCCTTTACTAGTTAACTAGTGAGCCATTTTTGTGTCACCTAGTTAACTAGTGAAGCCAAAATGTGTTCAGTAGTTAACTAGTGAACATTTCCGTCTCCCACTAGTTAACTGGTGGGCTCATTTTGACCCTGACTAGTTAACTAGTGAGACACAAATACCTTCAACTAGCTGACTGGTATGCATTTTGGCCTTTACTAGTTAACTAATGAGCCATTTTTGTGTCAACTAGTTAACTAGTGAAGGTCAAAATGTGTTCACTAGTTAACTAGCATGTACAGTTTGACCCTCACTAGTTAACTAGTTGACCTGTTGACAAGATATCAGAATTAATGCTCAAGCGGCTGGCCAAATTGGGCAAAGTTAACAAGTGGGATTTTACATTCAGTAGTCAGCTAGTACGAGTTTTTGTACCTTACTAGTTGACTAGTAAAAACTAAATGTGTTTTAACCAGTTAACTAGTGGACATTGATTTGTCCACTAGTTAACTAGTGAACACACTGAGCAATACTAGTTAACTAGTAAGATATGAAACATTTTAACTAGTTAACTAGAGAGAATTTAGGCCTTACTAGTTAACTAGTTGACATTTAGGCGGTCACTATTTAACTAGTTGACACAAACATGGCTAACTAGTTAACTAGTGGACAGAAATGGCTTACATGTTCATGACAATTCTGGCTGATATCCTGATATCAGAATAAATGCTCATTTGGCTTGCCATAAATATGACGATAATATCCCTCATTACACTCTTCGTCTGACACACACACACACACACACACACACACACACACACACACACACACACACACACACACACACCAAAGACATAAGATAAGAAATGGAACACACAAGTAGGGTTGTCACGGTAACCGGTATAGCGGTAAACCCCGGTAAAAAAGTTGACAATAAAAATAACCGTCCAGTTTTTAAAAAAACTAAATTATCTCGGTGGGTTTACCGTGGCCGCGGTTTCGGCGCGGTGACCCTTACCAGCCACCGTCGCTTCAGCTGAAGTTCCCGCAGCGCGCACTTTTTAGTTTGCAACGGCACCAAAACTTTGAAGCTGAAATAATGGCCGAAGGAGGAGACGGCAGCGCCCAGGACATCCATCAGCCCTCAGAGAAGACTAAATCGGAAGTTTGGGCATATTTTGGATTTCTGAAAAATGCTGAGGGACAGTTAATAGAAGACTGCTATCCCGTTTGCAGAACGTGCAGGAAACAAGTGTCTGCAAAAGGCAGCAACACTTCGAATCTAATGGCACATCTGCGTGACCATCACCCACGTCTCTACAGCCAGTGCAAGGTAAGTTAACATTAGCATTTTAGCTTAAATGCATGACGTAGGACTTTTGGTTGAGAGAGAATGCAACGAGTCACTTAGGGCTGTAGCGAAGCCTCGACGAAGTCGACGGCTCGATTCTAAAAATTTGTCGACGTCAGATCCGGAAGTCGACGCACCGCGCCCACTTGTTGCATCCCCAAGAGTTTGTAAATAGAGGAGGAATCTGCCTGTTTTTCCTCTAGTTCGCCCTCTTCTCCGCCTTCACTAACATCTCCGCCAAATACCGAAGACCCGGAACAACGTCCGTCCACTACTAGATTATTTTCCTGTTTTGCCCCTTCGTCTCCCGGCAACGGACAACAACTCCCGGGGTCAGATGCGCTGCTTCATGTCTACCGCAGATGTAGAAAATCACCGGGAGCGCTTCTCCCTTCATTAAGGAGCTTCTTTCAGACATGAGGAGAGCTGTTTTGGTGGTAGCAGTCTCTCCTCCATGCTGGTCTGTTTGCTGCCGGGTGTTTTTGGTTTATTTAAACTTGGTAACTTGAACTTAATGTTGGTAAAGCTACTGTTAGCATCTTCGCTAACAGCTTCTTGCATTGGGATAAGCTGTTACGTTTTGGTTTAGAGTTCATCTTTTTTGTGGTGTAGATCTCCCTTTCATTACATTTAGAGTGTTGTGGGTTTTCGGTTTAGTGTAAAATATCACCTGAGTTTGGTTTAACCCGTAAGACCACTCGCCTCACGCACATAAGTGACCAAAACAAAGCAGCATGGAGACACTCCATCTTCTACCACCTCTCAGGCAGCAGCCTGCACTCCCAAGTTCTACACGTCACCAGAACATAACCAACCAACACAATAAAAGCAGTGTTATACAAAATGGAAGGCCTGTAGTGTTTATTCTCTTACAGTAAGAATTTATCAATTTTTTTGAGGAATTTATTTGAGATTTTCTGGTTTTTGTTAATTGTGCAATAGAATAAATATTCATTAGATTAATTTTCTAAATAGTCATTAGAATAGTCGACTATTCGATAAAATAATCGTCAGAATAATCGTTTTAAAAATAATCGTTTACCCCCAGCCCTAGAGTCACTATATACTGCAGCCGCAGCGTCCTCTGCCAGCATTTAAACCGTGTCACGGACACCCTGTTGCTGGATGAAGCATCTTATTTGTTGATGATGAAGAGAAATATACAATTAGTTCCTTGTCATTGATTTGTTTACTTATTCAATGCCATTTATACTTGAACATTTGGATTTGATTACATAGTGTAGTAGTTATTTTAGTAATTTGTTTAAAGTGGCTATTTATTTTAAATACATATTTTTTTTAAGGTTGACTTGTACAGTGCTCAAGTCAAGTGTGGACTGGAGTTTTAGATTTTCATTTTGATAATGAAGAAAACAAGTATATGAGAAAACAAGTGGTGTTTCTTTGATTTGTTTACATATTGTTTATGTTTTGAATGTTTGGATTTGTATAATTTAAACCTGCACTGACTACTGTAACATGTTCCAGAAAAAGAAGCAATTTGTTCCTTTACTTGTGAAAAGTTGCACTTTTGCTAAGACTTTGTGTTATTTTAGGTTTAATAAACACTGTTAAACTATTTCAGTTTGTGTAGAACAGGACTATCAATGCTTTCTGAACATATGCAACACCGTTTAAAAAATACCGCGATAATACCGAAAACCGTGATAATTTTGGTCACAATAACCGTGAGGTTAAATTTTCATACCGTGACAACCCTACACACAAGTTTCCTGTGTGTCAGAAAATGAGTTTCTGTCATGTTTCTCTAAACACAGTTTCGTGGGAGTCTCTAACCTGCAATTTGTTCTTTAACAGCTTAAGGCTCACTCCCTGGGTTGGAATGCTTCAGCTTCAGGACAATTCCCACAAGAAGAACAAAGCCTGATGTGTGGTGATGAAACCTGCTGGGACCTTAACACTGATAAACTCCAACTATCTGCACAAGCATCACATAGAACTGGCTCTGCTCTGTGAACACCCATGTATTTATCATGAAGCTCTGTGAACAAGAAAGGCTGAGCTGGAAAACATTTGGCAGAGTAGGTTCTGACATTGTGCAGTCCTATTATCGCTTTATAAAGCTGAACTCCTATGTCTGACTGAATTGTTCTTAGTTTTTCTAACCACCATAGACTTTGTTTTGGAAATATTTAATTTTAACATATTTTTGTCAATCCATTTTGACGCCAGCATTAGCTCTTCCTGAAGCATTGTGTGGTAGATTCCTAGCAGAAAACCAAATGGTGGTATCATCAGCATACATTGACATAGATGCTTTTTAAAATACATTTAGCAATTCAATTCAATTCAGGGTTGTCGGACACCCCAGCTCCTTCGAACCCCCCTCCCAAGCCAGTAGAGCCCAGAGTCAGTTGCTCTGGGCGATTAATTAGACCAAGGATCCTGGACTAGTCAAGTAAATCCTGGGCCTATCAGGGACTGTGCTGGGTGTTCTGGAGGAAGGGGGTGGGTGTGTGTAGCAGACCACCAGGGGGCTCCACTCATACCCAGAGACAGGACACGATTTGTGTGGAGACGGGATGTTTAGTGTGCTGAAACCCCATGGCACGGATTTACTTGGAGTGATTAAAGACTGTGAGCAGAACTGCCTTGCGTCATCCTTACCTTCCTCCACAAAACCAAGGGTCTTCAGTCTGTTCCCGGAGACTAATGTAATGATATTCAGATCAGGTGAGCAGTATCATTTTCTGACGTTCTGGTCCAACTTTAGTCTTGTCTTGATTTAAAAGCAGAAAGTTTAGAGTCATCCAATGTTTTTCGCTCAAACTTTTTTAGTTTATTGTCTAAGTCTTTCAGATGAATGTTTTTCTGAGGTCCCTTGAGCTTTTTTTAAATATCAGTGTCCAGCTGGGAGTACACAGCTCTTGGACAGCTTTCACAATCCAATCAATCCTTTTGTTTGTCAAATCCAGAATCATTTCAATGAAACACTTAAGGAAGCTTCCCGATGTTTAAGCACTTCCTTTTACAGGCTCTTTTGTTGATTCAGCATTTCTTTCAGTGTCTACTGTGACAACCTCTGGTTAAGCTTCACTCATCTGCTTTAGATTCTTACATTTAGTCATCTTAATGTAATATAAGTGGAAACTGGACCTTTTTTCAGGCTTTCCCCTAATCCAAAGCTGAAAGAAACCCCACCACTTGATTCCAGGATAAAAATGCATTGCAACCTCCATTACTGACCGAGTAAAATATTACCATTTTTTCCCCTGTAATGGCTTATATTACTGTGTTATAGCAAAAAGCAATGCATTACAGTAATTACATGTTTTTGTAACTCATTACTCCCAACACTGTTTTTTGGTGTGTATGTGTATCAGAACATGAATGACAAGACACTGATACATCTGCATTGGAGTTTTTTAATCAAGAATAATTCACAGCTAAAAATAAATCAAAATAAAGAAAAAGTCCACATTCTACACATTGAAACAATACAATATAATATTTGTAATTACAGATATTACAATATTATTTATATATGGCGTTTCTGTACACTTGTATAATGGGCTCCACTATAGTACAGCTCCTGTCACTGGGATCGACTGTTGAGAAGGAAAGTCACATAAAAGTGGGCGTTGAGCATAATTGTCAAACAAAGTAAACAATAGAGAATTTAATTGTTGTTCAATTAGAGAAGTCATTAAAATTGGAACAGAAGGCTGATTAAAAACATCCAATTTAATAGACAAGTTAAGAACGGTTAACTGGAATAATTTGTTTTTAAAGAAACATTTTGTCAAATGGCTGTTTCTGTGCATTTAACTGTAAATGATTTATCCTTTCTGCAGTTTCCTCTATTAAATATGTGTGATTATTTTTATGTTACACTTCTGTAGCACTTTGAAAACTGGTCTCTTCAACCTGCATCCATAGGTGCATAATAAATGATTATGATAAAAATGTGGAAGCAAAACCACGAGACAGTTTAACCCTCCCGTTGTCTTCATGGGTGACCCTGCAAAAAATTTGACCACTGAGCAGGGTTGATGGTTTATCCCTTAAGGTCCATGTGGCAGGGGTGAGGAGTGAGCACCACCTCACCCCTGCCATGTGGACCTCAAGGGATAAACCATCAATCCTGCTGAATGGTCAACTTTCTTTGCGGGTTCACCCATGAAGACAGTGGGAGGGTTAACTCAGTTGGAAGTGTGGAACAATAATGATTAGAATTCTGGAGTTTGAGACGTACTTACATGAGGATCCAGGCGAAGCAGACATTTTAACATCTAAATCTTTCAGATGTTTAGAACGATGTTCACTTTCAGGCCAACTTTTATTCAAGTTTAGTTCAAATGTATTTTCCCTCAGGCTGTGATCTCACACACCTACTTCAGGAAACAAGCTCAGCATAAGCAAACTTAAATTCCACGTGTCGGTACAGTGTGTTCTGTGCTTGAATGACCTGTTTTAACATGTTCCTCATCTTTTTACTGGACGTGTAAGTGTGGCAGTCGATATAGTGGACAGGTTCATTTCCACCAGCAGCAAATTCTAACGTTTTGGACATCTCCCAGAATCACAATATTTCGAGTCAAGTTAAGCTTCCAAAACATATCAAACTCTGCAGCTTAGCTCGGGCCAGAGAGAAAGTGAAAAACAAAAGCAGTGCAAAAGATTAGGAAACTTTCAAAATACAAGTCACGTGAAAAAAAAAAAAGTATGCTATTTCCTGTGAAACCCCTGTAGGCGAGGTAAACAGAACAGAAACTAAACCACAGATCACAGTGGTCTTTTTCCTTGCTTGTTATTATGAAGACTTCAGAAATCGGTGATAGTGTTTCAATTCACCTGTGATGCTGTGACTTTGCAGGACCAGCAGCGTGGAATGCTTTTGCTCTCAATTCGTGGAGAAATCACTCCCGGTTGGAGGGGAGCTCGCGGCTGAAGTGTTTCTATTACATTACATGTCACTTTCATGTCTGGTGGAAGGCCGGGGTTTGCCTCATCCTTCATGCTGAACTCTGCATTAATAACTGTTTTCTTTGGAATTAACCAACCAAAAAGTTTACCAATTATTAAAAAAAAAATTACTGAATATTTTCTGGTTAGTGGCAGTGATAAGGTGTTTATATTAAAATGCAAAAGTTAAAAGCATTAAGCTTGCTCCCCTGTGTAGTGTAGAGCGATATATGCCCAAGGGAATTGGATTCATTCATTTGAAAAGAACATTATACTTTGCTTTTTGTGTAAACCTATTAAACTTTTAGTGATAGTGTTTTTTTGCCTTGTTTTTATAGTTTCCAGGGTGATTATGATCGCAGTTGGACAGAAAACATTATATGATCACACAAACATATGAGGTTAAAAACAATGTCTAAATTTCAATAACTTTACCTTCAAACTATTTGTTTTGACATCTTATAATTTTCTTTTGAAGTGTTTTCTAGTGTTAGCTTTCTTCTTGCCTTTTAATTTTTATCTCTGTGTTATGGTATTGTAACTGCACCCAACACGAAGCTCCCGCTGACTGAATACTTGCTTTGTGAAGATTTTTTGCCGTCTTTAATGCTAACCTCGGCCCACCTTTTGTAACCATTCTCTTTCCTGGGTCGTCTGCCTCTACATTGATTGGACACTGAATCAGGCTTCCAGTAAACAAAGCTTCCAGTTCACATATTTTGATTTTTTTCTGCAGGTGTTAAAATAATGAGCTTTAATCCCTGCACTGGTTCTGCAGCACCAACTGCATGCATGTTTTCATATGACAGTTTGTTGTCACATGCCGTTGAGCTCTTGTTGACAGGAGATGATAGATGTGATTGTTAGGTAAACTTTTGTGTTTTTTTCTAACCTTTGTAATTGCATGTTTCAGGTCTTTGGCATTGCTACTCTGTATTTATCTTTCAGATAGGTTTATTTGCACTGGAAATAACTGATATAGTTTTATTTTCTTTAAATAAAACAAAATTATTTCTTTCTTTGAGGGTTAGGGTTAGTTATTCTTGCTTTGAACTGCTGCTGGATGTGTTCCAGTCACAGGTGAATGAGTTGCACCTAACTGACAGCTCAGTGTGAGCTAGTGATTGGCACCAGTTTGCTGGTTGACTGATCAGGTTGAGGTATTGGCCAAGATGGACTGTATCTAGTCCAGTCCACCCAATGCCATAGAGCATGAGGGAGTTCAACCAGGCTGAGCTGTGTTGCTCAGTTGACTAATGTACAATCCATGCATGAAGAGCCTCACAGAAAAATGATGTGGCTTTTATTTGGTATGAAAATATAATTTGTCTTATAAAATGGGAGAAATTTTTCATAGATATAAACATCTAGATTCTACCAAGTCTCTGAAATTCTGAAAAAACTCAAAGGCCAGAAGCAGAGTGATAATGAGCAAATCATATTTTTAGACTTGTTTGAATGTTTTGTGGGTTTAGTAAATTTTTACCCCACTGCTCACTTGAAATTTGTATTGTTTCACTTGGTTTACTCTTTACCTCTTGACTCAACTATTTTATCGTGTTTCCTTTTGTTGTATGTCCAGCACTTTGGTCAGCTGTCATGCTGTTGATAAATGTGTTATATAAATAAATCTGGATTGGATTGAACCATGATTAAACATTTAGAGGTTTTTAGCTAGATCTACCAGTGCACTCCAGAGTTAGCCGTTTATGTAGCCTAAGTGTCAAGACCAACCGATTTACCAGGCTACTAACGTCATCATTCAAAACGGTGGAGGAAATATAGATTTTGAATTGAGCGGGTTATGCAAAGTTCAGCACAGTTATTGCAGTTGAAAAAGGATCCAAAAACAATATCCCTAGTTTTCTGTATTCAAATCTGTAAACTTAACACTCCCTGGCAAACCCTTAAACTGTTGATGATGTTTAGTGAGAAAGATTCAGGCACAAGTGAACACATAAAGACACCAAACCTTTGATCCTGCTTCCTTGTTGCCATTTTGACTCAACTTTTGATCACATCTTCTAGATCAGTGGTTCTCAAACTTTCCTCCTTGAGGAGCCCCTTGCCCGTGTCCAAGCCAAGCCAGGACCCCTAACCCAAACTCCTACCCACCCCCACACACGCACACACACACACACACACACATTAAATGTGATCATTTGCAAACTTAATGCAGACCTACAGAAGTATAACTTGTATGTGGAGATTTCATTATACTGTAGAGTGTGCTATTGGGATTTTATTAATGCAATTTTCACAAATAAAATCTTAACGTCACAACCTTAGCACATTATAAAATTGTGGTTTCCACTTGAAATCTTGTGGAAACCTTCCTTGGGGTCCCAGATCCCAGTTTTAGAACCACTGCTCTAGACAAGCAGACCAACTTTGAACAGCATTTTGTTTGAACTGATGCAACACATGTGGAGGTGAGAAACTCATCCCAACTCTGGATTTGAGCCAACTGCTTCACAGAATGGATGCATTATTTCAACCAAGAAAACTGAGTTTTTGTAAAAGTATGAAAGAGATTCTGTGTCTAATCCCTTGTCCGTCACCAAGCATTCTCACTGGTGTGTTTATATTTCAACCCTTTTATAACTGATTCAACACCTTGTTAGCTCACACAGTAAAGAAGCACAGTGTATCTGACATATGAAATAAATTAAGGGCATAGGTTTGTACTGGGCACACAGTGGCGGCAGCTCAGCTAAACACAGAACCAACAGAAGCTGCTGAAAAGTTTGAGATGAAAAATCCACTTTTTTAATGAGAAGAAGTGATGCACACTGCACTTCATTATTGTTTTTATAGTTACAGACAGAATCAGTTTATTCTAGCACAATGTATCCACATCTACTCTTTGTTATAACGTGTGAGGTGATGGAGATTTTTATCTCTTTTTGTTCTGAGATGTAGAACTGCCCTCTACACTTTGTTTAGACTGACTTTTTAGGTTAACCATTAGGATAATTTGGACCATCTGTTCGATTAATCATCTCAAACTGAAATACAAGCCGTTTCCTGGCGTATGAAAACAGGTCAGCCTTCAGACTGATGCTGCTCTCTATCTGTACTTCACAGCTCATAATTCTGTAAAAAATATCAAACCAGACCAGAATTTAAACGGATTTGTTCAGCTGGATGTTGTCGTGTTTAAGATTAGTCCAAAATGTCAATACAGTCTTGTATACGATATGTTTAAAGAATTGAAATCACCAGTGCGATTTTTACTTCACTTCGTGTACATTTCTAGAGTCAGAATGGTATTTTTGCTCGGATCGTTCCTATTTAAATCCAGATGAGTCATTGCTTCTAAAACAGGCTGCTGATTTTCTTCACTTAGTGCAACAAGGCAGATCAGAGCAGCCCAGTACGTCTCAAGTGGCATTGAAATTATGCTACAGGCTAATCAGACTGACAAGGCTGCAGGAGTTCACATTTTGTGCTTTGCATTGATGGTATCCACCTCATTTGTGAATCCTTTTGCATATTGTCTCCCAGAAGACATTAACCCTTTGTTTCGTTTTCATCCTCTCCTACACAAAGGCTTCAACCACAGGGGTAATACTGATGTTTTCCCTGCATGTTTGTCATGTTTGTCAGATGTTTTACCATTTTTTTCATTTTAAATTTAGAAATAGATGTTCTTCATGCAACATTATGTTATAGTACAGTGTACTGTACAGAGCTGTGGTTGAAGATGGGGTTACTCCAGATAGATGTCCTCTGTGGGGCACGAGAACTCCACAAACTCTTTGTAGTACAGCTGGAAAGCTTTCCTGAAAAAAAAGGAAAATATTTTCAATATTCTTTAAAAATATTTCATTCGTGTGCAAAATCCTCCTGCAAGGACAGCACTTTACAAGCTCAGATCACTGGCTTTATGTGTTGAGAGTAGCATTAAATTAACATGTGATCCAGGCATTTTTAATTTATTAGTTAGAGGATAATGTTAAAATGTGTAATGAGCAATGCTTATGTGCAGTTTTTTAACTCACCCTACTGACTCTGCGAGGGGCTTGGTGGAGTTTTCAGACACAAACACATGGCAGGCAAATCTCTGGTCAGCTGGGTGCTTAGTTATGAAACCAAAATACCTGTGGGTGTGTATGTGTGCGTGCGTGTGTGTATGTATGTATGTGTGCGTGTATGTATGTGTGTGTGTGATGTGTGTGTGTGTGTGTGTGTGTGTGTGTTTGTGTGTGTGTGTGATGTGTGTGTGTGTGTGTGTGTGTGTGTGTGTGTGTGTGTGTGTGTGTGTGTGTGTGTGTGTGTGTGTGTGTGTGCGTTTTATTTAAATAATAGCATAATAACATATTAACATGTTGATACCAAGTGGCACATTTAGAGCAGGGTGGTGCAGAAAGAATAAAACAAATGAAACAGACACATACTTGCTGTTTTTAGGATGGTAGCCACAAAACGAGACGTTTTTCAGCTGGAAGAAGTGACTGCACTCGTTACTCTGAAAGACACAGAAAGCAGACATGTCAAAGATAAAACCAAAATAACTGGCAAACTAGAATAGAGAATATGCTGGTGAAGGTTCTCAGTCATCCAGGTCATGGTAATCCAAAAGGGTTCAGATGAAGGCAACTGGACTTCTTTGGTTTCTTAAAGATATTTTGCATCTCATGGGAAGAGCTTTGTTAATTCTGAGTGGAATATGGGAGGGTCGAGCTTATAAACTGTATTGCTATTTAACGAGCAGATACTACTCAGAATACCCCTCCTCTCTACCCCCTGATGAGTCGTTAGCCTCTACTGAGAGGGAGTT